ACACCCCCTCGACCTCTCTCCTCCCAGTACACTCATCCGCCTCTACCGCCGTGGACCTCCCCGTCATGTTGTTGTCGTCCACACCTTCCCTGGTCGTAAATCCCACAACTTCAAGTATATGCTCCAAGCTTAACACCTTGAGCAATTAATGATGTCACTTCCTCTCTAAAGACATCCACACTCTCTCCTCTCGTCTACTGTGATGGGTCTGTTACCCATGGGCATATGGGGCAGCTGTGTTAGTTCTGAGCGCCAGGCCTGCAGGAAAATCAGGGTCCTGACTGGGCCTCCTCCACTGATGCTGAAAGCATAGCCATCCTCAGCGGGCATTCATGAGGGGCGACCTATGCTCTTACTGAACGCCGGAACCTCCTTATAATCCCAGTGACCTTTACTTCTCGCCACGCTAGCTAGGCTCAAATTACCCTCCCCTCCTCCCTGCCGCCCAACACACCCCTAGCCGCCGTTGCCGGGCTAAAACAAACTGATGACATCCGTGTCAAGTTCTTTGAATCCCGTCATATAAGACCAACTGCCTGTGACACTGTGGATCGGCTTGCCAGCTACACAGAAGAAGATACTGAAGCCTCTCGCCTCTCCTGAATCATCTCAAATCTCGCATACACGCCACACAACAGAAGCATTCAACGAAGAATTGGACACACCTGAAACAACGGGGGTAGCGTCACTGTATGCCACTATGACGCTGTAACCGTGACGGCAACCGCCACTACAAAATAGCATCAATCGACTCGTCTCAACAGCTTATATACATGAGACTGCGCCTAGGGGTACAGGTACCTATAAGAATTACATTGGCAACCTAGGCCTCTGCACTGTTTATACGCTTTGTAGCCAACCCGGCCTCTCACACCCTCTCACTACATCCTCCACTTGCCCTAGACCTCCTCCTGGGTCCCCAGCCGTTACCAACACCTCTTCCTCCCAGACCAGATATCCTCTCCTAATAGTCACAGGCCTGGCATTTTGACATTATTGAGGACCTGCCACTCTTTGCCATAGCTTGAATAAAAATGTGCACAAGGAACTTTCCCCCACGCTCATCATTCTCCTCACTTTATGTAACTTAAAATAGAACGCCTACTTGACCCTTCGAAAAGACCAGATATCCTCTCCTAGTCTGAGCCTGGCATTTAACATTATTAGGGACCTGCCATAAACAGATAAAATGTACCACAGAACTTACACACACTCATCATTCTCTCTCCTTTGTGTAACCAACAGAACCTACCGACCCTTCCAGTACGCCCTTAATGTACGAGTCATAAGGCAAGTATGAACTTTCATACTTCCCTGTTGGGCAGCTGTAAGCCTTCTGCTTCACCTGCTGGGATGTAGGGGTGCCCAATAAACCCTCGGGGCAAATCTGAATCTGAATCCCAGAGAGTATGAGTATGTGTCGGTCTGCTGTCGCTTCCTCAGGAACAAGCAGAGAGATTCCTCGATTTTTTTTTGCTGAATAAAAAGCAGAAAAAATGAACCATGAATGACGTCAGAACCTTTAGCCCTCCCCTACCTGCTCCCTCTCCTGGCGGTTCTCAAAGTACAATTCGATTTTGGTTCCTCCGTAACTAACAATGTAGAACCCCCATTTTATTGACTCCTTTAGACCCATGACTGTGGTGGGAGATCTAAGATGACTCATTGATTGCACCAAGACTCTGCTATGTATGACAAAGTAAATGTTGTTTTCTTATCGTAAGGGAGAGCGTTTGTGGTATTTCTGTTGTAATAGTATTTTGAAAAATACCGACAGAATTTACCATCATAAAGAAAATAGAACATAAATATAAGAATTAAAAGCATTTATATATACATGTACAAAAAATAAATGGTGGATTCACACCTTCCGGAATGTGTGGATGTTTTGCTATTTTTGCGCATGCGTGAAAAGTCTCGTGGGCTTATCGACCCCCCCAGCCCCGCCACACACACACACACTGATTCACACCGTCGCAACACACTTCCACTGGCAGTCGACTCTTAACCCTTGTGCAGACGGTATGCAACTTCTCGTTCACTGTTGGTGTTGACTTGTGCTCGTGGCGTTGGACTGAGCGATCCAGTTTATATATCATTTATTCATGAAGTTGCAGCGGACGGAGGGTGACAGTGACGCGGGGAGTGTAAAGCTATATTGTGTTGAGTTATAGTTAAGGTTGATAGTTTAATTATAGGTTTGTGTGTGTATGGGGCCACGAATATATGTGTGTGAGTGTTTGGGTGATATTATACTATGAGAATATAACTCACTACCACTCAAACACAAGCGAAGAACCGTGCCAATGGTTCAGCAGTCCTCTTACGTATACACTACTAAAATAATTGTCTAAGTGGCCCAGATATATCACGTGTGAGGCGAGACAGACAACAAATAATTAATTTTTGGCTTTCTCATCATAAATTCTGCATCAGAAACCCCAAGTATTGTTTGCGACACTCTTAAGTTCTTATGTTACTTATATTTTTGTTTCAATTTATGTCACTTATACCATCTGCTATTATTTATGTCATCTATACTAAATCATGTTACATGTTTTTTAGTCTTATGGGAAGGTATCAGCACTGATTGTTGTATTTAGGCCTTCAGTTATGTGATAGTGATTGTGTGTGTATGAGATAGAAGAGCCGCAGGGGCGCACCCAGAAATTGAGTAGGGGGGGGGGGTCCAAATTACTGAGAAGTCTGGCGAGCATCCTAATCTTTGTATATAGACTTAGCGTTGTTGAAGGCTGTGGCATTCAAAGTAGATGTAACTACACCAAAAACTACATGTGAAGTGAGGACGAGAGAAGTGGGAACATGTTCCTTGACCCAGCATGCCCAGTATTATCGTACGATACAGATATTTGAAGCACACTTGCGAAATGATCAAATATGTGAAAGTAGATGCAAAAATAATTTATAAATATGTAAACTTTATAGAAAATGTACAATGTAGATGAGAAAGTTGAAAAAAAAAACATTAAATCTCAATATTTCACACTCTCTGGCAGTGCTGTATATTAAGTGCATTCAGGTGCATGGGAATGGCAGAGGTGGTGGAAGTTACCGTGGCGTGGGGTGAGGTCAGGTAAGCTGACCCAACATTCGTGTTCTTAAGGTGTCGCCAGGTCAGGTATGGGTTGACCGCACCATGCAATACTTGGATGGGCAACCAGGAAACCCCCCCCCCTGGGTGCGCCGCTGAGCCGTAGAGACACAACAGGTGGATGGGAGGTAACGGCTGATGTTGTATGTGTAACTGTGTCAGTGTAGTGTAATGGTAATCGTGCTTCCTTTACAAGCGAGCGAACCCGGGTTTGATCCACGGGCAGGGCTAAATTATAGGCAAGTTTTTTTTTACGCCATTTGCCTGTCTACCAGCAGTTATTGGGGACCTGGATGTTAATCGATTTGAAGATCGTGTTCCGGGGTAATGATTAGCCAGTGCAGTTGGCGAGTTGTCCCGTCTTCTCGTACTATTCCTTGACACTGGGTCATACAACTCGTTAACTTAAGAGTGTGGTTGTTGTGTTGGCGACAACTTCTACACATTAAACAAATTCACGCCTCGGAGGCCCTATGGCTGGCCATCCTCGTGTGTGTGTCAGCAACAGTCTAGATCACGTGGCACTAATAGACTAGGACCACTGTACTTGAAACAAGATAGTGCAACGTCCAATGGCACCAACTGTGTCACCATGGTATATCTTGGGTGACAACCGAGTGGATATAGCACTCGTTTCCGGCCATAAGGAACACCTTTTTCACATCCGGGGCACCCGAAGCCGATCCAGTTGTGAAAGAGTTCCTGAATTTTACGTAGGGGAAGCGAAGACGGTTGAGTGTGGTGTCGGGAACATTATCGCCTTACGTAATACCGAAGGCTTAGATATCAGTGTGCTATGTGATCGTCAGGTATATGGACCTCACTCTCACACCACGAGTAACTGGAACTAAACTGTACCAGGAATAAGTTGATTTGTACCTCCTGTTGGAACTGTGTTTAAAAAAAATTAGATTACAGTACAATTTCCTGAAACTGAACTGTTATGGCACACACACACACACGTCGTGGGTGGAAGAACACGGATTTCAGTGTTATCACTGTTTATACACGAAGGAGTTCTTGGTAGCGTGGTGTCTCTGGCTGTGACGACCTTGAAGGTTACTTATATCTAACACCATTACACAACAACTGGTAAAGTGGTTACAGTTTGTTGCGAAATGATTCAGCGAAATATAATGGTACGCTAACTCGAGTTACAGTGCTTAGAGTGATACAGTTTACCTCTACAGAACGTTTTCAGGAGTTACAGGGATACAATGCTATTTTAAACACGATTACAAATTGCATTGATACAATTTACTCCATCTTGTCACCTCACAAGTTCTTTGTCTCAAAAAAAATATCTATACAAAATTGTATTGAACAAATATTACACAACGGACGAAGGATTTGGGCAACCCTACTGATACAACAGGAGTCCGTGTTCATGCTGAAATTACTCCCCCCTCTCCCCCCAAGTACAGATAGTTTTTGAGTGATTGGTCATCTTACAAATCAGGCCAGTCAAAATAAACCATCGCTAAAACATTTTTTTTTCTCGCAGGAACTGACCACTCAGTATCGGTCCCAGTTAAAATCCCGACAAGAGTCCGTGTTCGTGAGCTGTGGCGTGTTAAGAGGGCGGTGACTTTCTTCCTGTTTTTTTTTCAGTTAGTCATTAGTCATCTTTACAACACAAAAACAGGATTTGTTAATTTTCTTACTTTTTAAATACTTTTCGTTCTCATTACGAAGAAAAAAAATGAGCAAACTGGGGTCACTGTTTCGTTAATCAGATGTCAAGGCTTATTCATATTTCTATTATGTTATACGAAACCTTAAGAACTCAAGAACAAGTCCAGCACACACAGCGAAACAATATCTGTATAACACTTTACAAAGGTTAAAGTTTGAGGTCACTTACCTGCTCTTCACCTGTGAGACAGCAATGGATAACACCACCACAATCAAAGATGGAATGAATCACTCCAATGCTTCCCAGAGAACAACAGCGACGTCATATAATGCTTCCCAGAGAACAACAACTACGTCATATAATGCTTCCCAGAGAACAACAACGACGTCATATAATGCTTCCCAGAGAACAACAACTACGTCATATAATGCTTCCCAGAGAACAACAACTACGTCATATAATGCTTCCCAGAGAGCAACAACTACGTCATATAATGCTTCCCAGAGAACAACAACGACGTCATATAATGCTTCCCAGAGAGCAACAACTACGTCATATAATGCTTCCCAGAGAACAACAACTACGTCATATAATGCTTCCCAGAGAACAACGAATACGTCATATAATGCTTCCCAGAGAACAACGACTACGTCATATAATGCTTCCCAGAGAACAACAACGACGTCATATAATGCTTCCCAGAGAACAACAACTACGTCATATAATGCTTCCCAGAGAACAACAACTACGTCATATAATGCTTCCCAGAGAACAACAACTACGTCATATAATGCTTCCCAGAGAACAACAACGACGTCATATAATGCTTCCCAGAGAGCAACAACTACGTCATATAATGCTTCCCAGAGAGCAACAACTACGCCATATATATTTTTTCTTCATGTAGTTCATATCAGCGTAAGATATCAATAATCCTCTTAGTCATATTTCCGAAAGTAATAAATATTTTCTGACTGGTATTAACATTATAATAACTGACAAGAGACGTTTATACTCTGCCTTCATCACTGTTCACGTCTTCTGCTATAGATACACACAAAATAATTATTGTCTTAAGTTAAAATTAATTGTTATTTATATGGTGGGAGCCTTATGAAACAGGTGTCGCAGTTTTTCGGACTTAGATTATTACTTTGACAGATGACCATGGGAGCACACCTTTGAGCTGGAACTAATTTAGTACCATAAGGGAAGGTGACGAATGAAGGTCAACTGTTATACATCTAGACTGACAACACGTGATTATGACCCATAGTTAATAACACATCTCAAGCATTCAAGATAAGTGTGCTCGAAAAACGTGCGTGGTGTTGCATAATAGAAGGTGAGCTGGGTGGCTATATATAAGCTGGTGGGTGGTTGGTCAGTGTTTAGTGTACTTGGGGACTCGGGAGTGGAAATACATGAAGTTACTTGCTCTCTGCTAACACGACCTCAACCCGGAGAATAATATGTGTTAATTCCTCAAGAGTGTTTATACATTAGCTGAAAAGTTAAGGATTTTGTGACAGTGATACAAAGTTACTCAGTCTATTTGAGTGAATTGTATACATCAGCTGAAGACCAATTACGGTATGTGGTACACTCAACTTTTACGTCATTTGAGATAACATTTACAGGATATCATGATACGTCAACTTGAGGTGCCAGATGAGTGTACAGTACGTGCAGTTATAAAGCGTAACTTTCTTTTGGCACTGTGTGTGTGTGTGTGTTCGTTCGTTTGGTTATGTTTCGGGGGCAGCTGCTAGCTTTTGGCACTGAATGCGTCATCCAACCACACACTACTCACAACAGTGCCACCTGACACCCAGCATCCATCACCTTACCACTAATTACTAACGATCGGATTACAGGCTAAATTTGTCTACTTTCAACAACGGGAGAATTAAATTGTTGAGCCATGACGTTAACACAATAGCGACGTCACATAGTTACATAATGTCGTTTATCTCACCTCCTGACTCATGAACTAACACTACTTAACGTAAACAGATAAGAGCGTAAAGTTGAGAAACGGTGAGACAGGGAGAGTGAGAAAGGGGGGAGTGAGAAAAAAAGGGGGAGAAAGAAACAAAGAAGCAGAAAGAGTGCAAGAGAAGGTGTAAACTAACTATATATTATGAAGAGACGTCTAAGAATGTTTATTACTATTATTATTATTATTATCAGTTGTCATTACATCAAGAATACTAAAATTGACACCACGTCAATTTTAGTATTCTTGATGTAATGACTATTGTTTATTATTTATTTATTATTGTCATCCTATAATTACCTTTTATCCCCACAGGTCATGAGGGAAGGAGGGGTGAAAACAATTACCGTAGCCAAGAACACCACTCAACAATAACAACAACACCCCATGTGACATCACCCACGTGTTTTTGTTTACAATTTGAAGATACTATAGGTCCCCTCTCACCTCCACCACCATGATGTGCCAACAGGATCCCAACCTACAGCTCTCCCTAGCCAGGCGGGTGACCATCTACATAATCGGCGTCGTAGAATCGATGCTCTTCGCTGGGATTATCTTCGGATGGCCGCAGTTAGTTTACGTGCTGAAAGTAGAAGGACTATATAGTGACCTGTGTAGGGGGTCTTCGTCTTCTGTTGTCCATGACGATCATAATGAGATCAAGCCCACGTCCACGCTTAACCTCTTCTACAACAATTCTCGCTGTCTTGGTCTCAACAACACCTTCGAGGTCTCCAGGAGTCATGCCGTGAGTTGACGTCTTATGAAGGAATGAGTTTTTGTTTTGTTTTTCTATTTAATATAAGTTCCTGGGTTATATAGTGACTGTATTAAAGTAGCGCCAATATCAAAGAGTCTGGTAAGATCCTTTGAAGTAGCTTATATTGTAGTTATGTAAGATAATTTAGATTTTATGAATATCGAGATCCACTGCTTAGGTTAGCGTTAGCGACAGAATGGGTAATATTAAGGTGAAATAATCATGGGGTTCCTAATCTTCATGACATTCGAGGATTTTAAAAGGTTAGATATTTATCAAACTTAAGACAACAGCTATGAATATCCGTTAATTATACATCAAATATTTAGACGAATACACCGGCTGGTTCGTTGGCAGGAGGGACAACAAACATTATTTCTTCTTATTTTAATGACGGTATGAGATAATTTATATAATATATAGACGAAACTCGCGGTGATTATTACTAGTCTTGATCTGGATTTCCTACACGTGTCTTTCAAGTAAGTAAACTTCTACATAACACCAGTGGTAAGGAATGGAAGCCCTTAACAATCAGATAACAGATTAGTTATCATCTCTTGTGTGTGTGTGTGTGTGACTATAACCCAGTGCTGGATAAGGTTACTAGGCTCACAAGTGTTAAAGATAGTCCGGTATATTTTCATCTTTTTTTCTTTAAGTTAAACAAGACAACAAGGTGGAAGGTGTGGTGTTTACTGGTGAGTGCGGGGACCCACCTGAGGGTAGAGGGGTCTAATTATCACGGCTCCCCACGACAGTTCATGAATAGTGTTGCTTAGAGTCAGTCAACCATTAAACGGCCTTTGGTGTAGTGTTGTAGTCGGCCAACCAGTCAGTGACCCTTCATGTACACACTTGTCCAACCAGGTGTAAGAACAGGTGTGTCAATTCAATTATGTGTAGAGTGACCACATAAGTCCAGGTGTGTCTCTCTCTAGGTTTACCTGGGGGGACAGTGACAGGAGAACTAACAGCTAGACTTAAGCAGATGTCTGATATCTGTTACTGAGGCGATAAAGACAGTGGGTGTTTATTTCAAGGTTATGTTGAAGCCTTATCTATATCCCGAAGTCTTGGCTCTTCTAAGAGTGTTTTCTTGTTGTTAAATATATTAGTCTCTCTCTCTCTCTCTCTCTCTCTCTCTCTCTCTCTCTCTCTCTCTCTCAGAAACAATATGTAAAGTCCTCCATGTTGTCGAGGGAGAGAGGAGGAACCAGCGGCGGGGTGACTGAGAGCCTTTTGTTTGATGCAGGAAAATCCGTCTGTATAAAAAGGGCAGTCCCGTTTACACCCAACCCCTATCGCTCATATATCCATCCAACCTATGTTTAAAGCTATCCAGCATATTTGAGTTAATGATGATGTTTGGTAACTTGTTCCACTCATCCACTACTCTTATTTCCAAACCATTGTTTACCTATTTTGCGCCTAAATCTAAATTTGTCTAATTTAAAACCATTGTTACGAGTTCGCTCCTGGTTGGATACCTTTGTAATGTCCCCTTTGTTCAGCCCTGACTTCCATTTATACACCTCAGTCATATCGCCCCTCACTACGTCTCTCTAGGGAGTGCAGGGTTAAGAGGCTTTAACCTGTCTCTGTACTCAAGGTTCCTAATGCCCGGGATTAGTCTTGTCATTTTTCTCTGAATTCTTTCTAGGGATTCTATATCCATTCTGTAGTACGGTGACCAGAATTGAACTGCGTTATCCAAGTGAGATCTCACAAGTGTAAGATATAGTTTTAGGATAACCTCGCTAGTCTTGTAACTAACACTCCTTTGTATGAACCCAAGTACTTTGTTCGCCTTATTTCGAGCAAATAAACATTGTTTACTTGGTTAAGATTCCTACTTATCATTACTCCCAAATCTTTTTCACAGTCGGATTTCTCTATAACATCGTTGTTCATCTGGTATTTGGTGTCTCTGTTTACATCTCCTAGACTAAGTACTTTACATTTGCCCACATTGAATTTCATCTGCCATTTTTCAGAGCATTCGATTTTTTTAGGTCGTCCTGTGATTTTGTGGAGTCCTCGTCAGATTAAATTACTCGCCCTATTTTAGTGTCATCAGCAAATTTATTTATGTTGCTGTTTACGCCGATATCTATGTCGTTTATATATATATATATATATATATATATATATATATATATATATATATATATATATATATATACTGTATAATGGTCCAAGTACTGAGCCTTGGGGTACTCCATGTTAACGCTCATAGGTTTCTTGCAGGAGAAATAAACCCTCAACGTTGACGCGTACCATATACAGTAATTCGGTCAAAACCTGTTAAAGAACTATTTACATATGACAAATGCTGTTATCTCATGACACACAGTATGAATAATACAATCAATATATAGTACCTAGACTGTTAACATCTTAAGTATAACTTACATGTTACATCTGTTGATACATCAGGAGACACAGATGTATAATATGATCAAATTACAGTACATAAATATACTTATTAAAGTTATTTAGAGTTTATATTTACGTTTTAGGGTCTTGGATTCGACCAGCATGTCGTTTCTTCTGCAAGAATTGGTAGACTGCTGAGCAATCGCCACCCAATCGCAGCTCTAGACGAGGGCATCTGTTTTATATTAGACGACCAACAAACATGTTGTCAGCACTGCCCCCCCCCCCCTTCTCACCCTCTCTCTCTCATGTTTATCTTACTGTGGCGGTAACACTCCACTATTGACGTTACTCCAATCGGATTTAGTGCCGTTAATGCTCACTCTCTGTTTCCTGTTCTGTAACAACGCCCTAATCCATTTTAGAATATCTCCTCCAATGCCATGGGCCTCCACTTTTCTTATTAGTCTTTCGTGGGGGATTCTGTCGAAGGCTTTGCTTAAGTCAAGATATACCACATCATAGTCCACTGATTCGAAAACATCTGAAGGTTGTGAAGTTTGCTTTGGTCGAAGTATAATTTAAGTCCAGACACGTCCTAGAACCAAGTCCAGCCACGAAGGTGTTGTAGTGTCGAGCGAGGTGGCAACAAAAACTCTCTTGGACGGACGACTCTGGCGAGTATGTGGATAGAGAAAATCCCGCTAGAGGCCTAGATAGATAGATAAAATGCTAGTGACAGGGGGGAAGGAGGTTCAGGGGAAGAATAAAGTGAGGATTGAAGTGAATTTTAAGAGGAGAGAACAGATGCAGTGGCTAAACACCGCTTGCGTGAGGGATTATAAGATGGAGGCAGCAGCAGCAACTTGCCTGGACGCGGCCGGGAGGCGACAAGACACAGCCAGGCTAGCGTCAGGTCAAGCGTCAGGTGCGTGTTGGGTTGGGCAATGGATGTTCAGTGCTTGGTCGGCTTGAATGTGTGTGTTGGTTTCTTGTGTGGAGGAGATGTCTTGGTCTTCTTAGCTTGATGTCGATATTCTTCTCACTCTCCTCCTCTTCTTGCTCTCTTGAAGTGTCCATTCGTTTGTGTTTGGGTCTTGTTCGTCTTCCTCGTGTATTAAGTTCTCATAGGTGTGGAAGAGGTCGGAGGCGGTGAGGTTGACCACGTGGGCTTCAGCTCCACGGGCCACGTGGTGTTCTTGGTTCTGTGTGGTGGGCGTCTTCTCTTGAGTTTTCTTTGCTTGGTTTTTCTTTTCTGCTGGTTTTTTCTTTTCTTGGGAGCGTACAGCAAGGAGGGCCTCTTTGTAGCTCAGTTTTTTCTCAAGACGAGCCTTGGCTACCCTGCATTCCTCCTAGAGGCCTTACGTGATGTGAGATGGATGATGACGAGCCTGGGGCAATGTTTATGCGTGTTGCTCAGTAAACATGCACACCAACCTATTACGAATGAGGCAATCAACCTACCTGAGCTTTTACCCCATGACCCTCTACCACACCTGTATGCAAATTACGTAGGAACATGGCCACCTTGTATGAAAGCAAAAATTATATGTTTAAGCATGAGTATTTCTATGTTTGTCTTTGGTACCCCCAAAATGTTCTACACTGCTGAGGGTATACACAAACACTTATCTTGAAAATAGGTTCTTATTCTCGTACGGGAGATGAATACAGAGGGACAAAGAAACTGGCTTCCACACCATAAGGACTAGTGATCTCAACTCTCTGTATCACTCCGCGCTGGCATGTACAGATGACAGCATTCACAAGCTGAATACATAATATGTAAACATGATAATTCACATACATAACATGGTGCATAATAAATGGAAATATTACATAGGATTAATACATGTTCTGTAATACTTTACTATACATAATTAATAGAGTAATATAAGAATACACAGCTTAAGGTACTACTTCGTGTCCATATTATACAGTATTGAGTAGGAGCATTTAACAATGTCTGGCACTCGTTTCATGAGGGTTAATTAGACCGCGGATCACGATGTGGATTAATGTCTCGATTCTTTGTCTTAGATAATGTGTTCATCGTCCCAAGTACAGTCTGTTAACATTTCTCACACCCGTACAGTTTGCTGCTGTACATACTGTATCCGAGACAATCCAGATGTTTACATTGTGCCATTTATTCCGGATCGCGTAAAGATTAGCCCCACAACTTATTTCACCTTAATATAAACCACTTTAATTGAGATAGGTTTTAACTCTAACCTAACCTATCCTAACCTAACCTAACCTATCCTAACCTATCCAATCCTAACCTATCCTCACCTATCCTATCCTAACCTAACCTAACCTATCCTATCCTATCCTAACCTATCCTATCCTATCCTAACCTATCCTATCCTATCCTAACCTATCCTATCCAAAATCAAAACAAACCTAACCAAAATTACAGATCACAGCAGCAGATAAAATTATATACAAGACATCATATTTGTGTTTTGTTTTGTTCGCCAATAATATACAGAAGTTCATACATTTCCAAATTCCTACAGGTGGGTGTGGAACAGTGTGGCCCCCAAGACGAGAGGTTCGCCTTAATTAGCACGGTGTCTGTCAGCTGTTACAGTATTCCAGGTATCCTCGTGGGCTATTTGCTACACCACGCTGGTCTCCGAGTCACCCGAATATCCGCTGGGTATGTTAAACTGGTGTCTGATTTGTTATATAAGCGACTTCAATATTAATAGGCAATTTAGCTTCTTCGCCTGATGATTTAATACCCTTTTGCTACCTGAGGGGGTCGGGGTGTGTGGAGTTAAAGCCAAACACGGAAAGCTGAAAGTGTTGTGGATTGAGAACTTGTCTATCACGAAATACTGGCTATCAGTAATGTATTTCGTGAGCTTCCAAATGCAAAAGTGATGGATCACTTCCAAGGCTTCTGCAATTCTTAGCGACAAGAAATAATCATTCTTATGTGACTTTGCAGATGCCTTCTAAGCTTCACAATTTTGTGACAAAACAATTAGTTGATGAAAATGTATCTGAACGCTTGCTAAACGTTGTATAGAATGCAGACAAGGCCAACAACAAATTTCGAATGGAAAGATTTATTGATAAAGAATAGAAGCTCAGCTTCACAATAACCCGGCAAAGGCTGCCTGCCTTCAGTCATACATCAGTTGACAGCCATCTATTATATCCTTCAAGCACCATAACAACCAAACATGTGTGATGTCCACATACAGATATACAAATTGCACAAGAGATGGGATTAACTATGAAAGAGATTCTGTCCCATAACTTACTTCCAAATAGCCTCCTGTCTGCAGGTAATGCACCAACAAAACATTATTTTGCTTATGGTCAAGACTCTCACAGGAGGATTACTTGTTTTAACAAGTTTCACAACTTCGTACATCAGTCATTGTTGATTTGGTCACGTATGCGCCAACTGAAAAGGCTAGCTCATCAGATTTTTGTGTCCAACCAAGGAAGTCCATTTCATATTCGAGTCTTACAAGGAGCTCTCACCTCAGGTATATGAGTGAATTCGCAGATCATATGTTGAACTAAGTAATATCACAGCCGGTGTCCCGGTATCCATTTAAATAGTATTTTGGGGTGGACTTAACAGCTACCAAAATCAATCTGTAACAGCTTGTTGTAAATTATCTCCAGCAAAGTTTAGTAATATTTAATGGAATGGTAATAAATGACGAGGTTATTTCTTCCAGCTAAGCTTTTTTTGGCACATTCATTTGTTTACGGCACCCATTGCCAGGGACAGGCGTAAGGGTGTTTTATCAGGTGGGTTGTCTATTCTTCACGTGATCCATATAAACACGTAAACACACTCACACACACTTACTTACTTACTTTTATATTCTTAAGTAAATATCAGTTAAGTGACCCCTTACGGTGGAATATATACTACTTACTCATTCCTTTCATGTGTGTATATTATGTCAGTTAGTGTTTGTGTGCATGTTTACATGTACGTCGGTTACACACAGGTAACGTAGAAACATGCCAATGTATCCTTCCGCGTCTCTCTCTCTGTCTGTCTGTCTGTCTGTCCCTCCCTCTGTATCAACTCCCCCTCATTCCCTCCCTCATACCTGCTTCTTTCCCTCCTCTCCCTCCTTCTCTCCCTCCCTTCCTACTTCTCTAGTTCCTCCTTTCTCTTTGTCTTGGTAATACATAACTTCAGCCCCCCCCCCTCTGACTTACCTCCCTCCCTTACCCACCTCCCTCTCTTTCATTTCCCTTCCGTCCCTTCCACTCCCTCCGTCTACCTGTCTCCCTCTCCGTTCTTCCCTTCAACTCTCCTTCCCTCATTACCCACTCCTTCCTCTCTCACTATCTACTCTTTCCTCCCTCGCTATCCATTCCCTCCTCCCTCACTACCCACTCCTTCCTCCCTCACTATCCACTCCTTCCTCCCCTCGCTATCCCTCCTTCCTCCCTCACTATCCTCCTTCTTTCTCTCCTCCTTCTCCCTCACTATCCTCCTTCCTCCTCTAACCACAACATCCTTTCTTTCTCACTATCCTCCTTCCTCCCTCACTATCCCTCCTTCCCTCCTTCCTCCTCCCTCCCTTCCTCTCACTATCTACTCTTTCCTCCCCTCGCTATCCATTCCCTCCCTCTCCGCTCCTTCCTCCTCACTATCCCTCCTTCCTCTTTCTCCTCCTTCCTCCCCTCACTATCCTCCTTCCTCCTCCTACCCACAACATCCTTTCTTTCTCCTATCCCCTCCTTCCTCCCTCACTCCTTCCTTCCCCTCCTCCCTCCTTCCTCTCTCACTATCTACTCTTTCCTCCCCTATCCATTCCCTCCTCCCTCTTCTCCTCCTTCCTCTCTCACTATCCCTCCTTCCTCCTCACTATCCACCTTCCTGTCTCACCATCCCTTTCTCTCACTATCCTTTCCTCTCGCTTCCCTCCTTCCTCCCTCACTATCCCTCCTTCTCATCCACTATTCCTCCTTCCTCTCACTATCCTCCTTCCTCCTCACTATCCACTCCTTCCTGTCTCACTATTCACTGCTTTCTCCCTCACTATCCCTCCTTCCCCTCTCTCCTATCCACTCCTTCCCTCACTATCCCTCCTTTTTCTCACTATCCTCCTTCCCCCCATTATCCACCCCTTCTGACTATCCACTCCTTCCCCTCATTATCCCTCCTTCCCTCACTATCCACTCCTTCCCTCATTATCCTCCTTCCCTCACTATCAATTCCTTCCCTCACTATCCCTCCTTCCCTCAATACCCCCTCCCTCCCTCTCACTATCCCTCCTTCCTCTCTATCCCTCCTTACCTCCCTCTATCCTCCTTGCCTCCCTCCCACTCCTTACCCCCCTCCTTTCCTCACTATCCTCCTTCCTCCCTCCTTCCTCCTTCCCTCACTATCCCTCCTTCCTCTCTCACTCCCTCCTTACCTCCCCTCACTATCCACTCCTTACCTCCCTCTACCCCTCCTTTCCTCACTATCTACTCCTTCCTCCTCACTATCCTATCCTCCTCCCCTCCTCCTTCCTCCTTCCCTCCCTCACTATCCTCCTTCCTCCCCTCTATCCATCCTCCTTCCTGACTATCCCTCCTTCCCCTCGTCCCTCATTATCCTCCTTCCCTCACTATCAATTCCTTCCCCTCTATCCCTCCTTCCCTCAATACCCCTCCCCTCCCTCACTATCCACTCCTTCCCTCACTATCCCTCCTTCCTCTCACTATCCACTCCTTACCTCCCTCTGTCCCCCTCACTATCCCTCCTTGCTCCTTCCTCCCTCACTATCCACTCCACTCCCTCTCTATCCCTCCTTACCTCCCTCACTCCTCCTTCCTCACCCCTCCTTTCCTCATCTACTCTCTCCTCCCCTCACTCCCCTCACTATCCTCCTTCCTCCCTCACTATCCCTCCTTACCCTCCATCTAAGCCATCCAGTCTCCCTAACTCTCTCTCTCTCTCTCTCTCTCTCTCTCTCTCTCTCTCTCTCTCTCTCTCTCTCTCTCTCTCTCTCTCTCTCTCTCCTTCTCATAGCGTGACAGAGACAGGTTTCAATCTTCTTAATATTTTTTTCCTCCACACACACACACACACACACACACACACACACACACACACACACACCACACACTGTGCCTCTGGAGTATATCTACACACAATACGAAAACAATAAATAAACAGACAGGGAGAATGAAAAGGGATATAGATGAAAGAACTAAGAGACAGACACGAAATGATAAATGAAAAGAAAGCGTATTTTGTAACTAATATTTAATTTATTCCCCAGGACGATGTTATCTTTGGGTTTCCTCTTACTGGGAATGACAACAACAGGTGAGTGTATTCAACATTATTCACTAAAATATATAACATTAATTCCAACTTTCTTCATCCTCCTCCTATTTATTTTATCCTTGTTTCTCATTATCCTTCTAGTTATCCACTCCTTGTCTTGTTAATTTGCGATTATTTCAGTTTTTATAGAATTAATTTTCCATTCGTCTAAAGTTGATGGTATTTATTTGTTTATTAAGGACTCAAATTATTAGTGTTCACCTGTGATTACTTTTCGTAGTTTATTTAAGTAATTGTGTGTTGTAGTTGTTGGAATTATTTTTATTAGTAGTTGTATTGTTATTATTGTTACCGTTATTGTTATTATTATTATTATTATTATGTAACTGACAGTACTCGTTCTGTACACACATAGAATATTATAACCACAATATAAAGATCACACACACACACACACACACACACACACTTGACCAGCTCCCACGGTACCAGATCTACAGTTAATCTATATGTTGACTCTATGTTTCTTATATTTTTTGTATTGAAAACTTTTGTCAATCAAGTGACCCACTCCCCGATTTCACCATATGTAATTTATCACATCTGTGCATTGTATATTTTCAGCTTTCGGGCTGCCATGATATCTTAATACACCGTTAATTATTATTGTTATTATTACACACACACACCACTGTCCCACTATACTTTCCCTCCCATTTGTACCACTGTAACTCTATAACTATACCATTGTACCCACTATATATATTACCACTACATCACAGAGTCACCCAACATTCTGTTCCCGGCTATGATCTTACTGGCTCTGGGAGGTAACCAGACGAGGTTGGCTGTTGCTCAGTTCGGAGACTTGTTCCCTCTACAGCGCGCTACAGCCATCACCCTCCTGTCGGGGATGTATGCTGCCTCTGCTGGACTCTTCATCGTCTTCCAGGTGAGGATGAGAAGGTGAATACAGGTAGGCTCTCTCTCTCTCTCTCTCTCTTTCTCTTCTCTCTCTCTCTCTCTCTCATCGATATATTTTTTCCTCTTATGGATTCAATCGCGTGTATTTTAATTATATTCTTTATCTTAATATTTCTAGGAGCAATATGTTGTAATTTTTCCCCAAAGTGTTTGTGATAATTTGTTTTAATTGTTATATAACTTTGAGATCACCTGATGAATCTCCACCATAGATTATTTCATTTAAAGATTAATTATTCTTCTACTATTTGGGGGCATGAGGTTAGGTGATGTTAGGTTATCGTTAGGGTGGTTAATCTTCAAGTGAAATATGCTGAGGTGGAGATTCATCAGGTTTTAAAAAATTCAAGTAAAGTTTATTATTATTATTGTAGGCACAGAATACGTGAACACTAGCACCCGATGTTTGTTGTTTTGGGGGTCACAGTGCTGCATAGTAGTTGAGAAATACAGGTAGTGTTGTTGTTGTCAGGTGGCTTTAACAATATAATTTCTGTACAATGTTGATTACGTTGCAGTACACAGCGTCGGTGGGCATCCCTCGGGCTCATGTATGCTGGTTTCTGGCAGCGCTCAGTTCATTATCAGTGTTCTTGAGCTTCATCATGCCCGTCCACCACATACCTGTCACAGATACCTGTACGTATATCTTTAACAATCACACGTACATTTATGGACTGGACAGTAACAACTCGGTAGACTTCCTCTCTGAAGAATTGTGTTCTTCACAACTGTACATATCATATTATCTATCGTACGTGCTTACCATCATGTACAAAACTGCCGTATGTGCACAACATCATGTACAAAGCCACCATACGTGCACACACATAAAGATGACCCTCACATATACACAGGAACACACATACAGTATATTACTATGAGTTGTATAAGATTGACGAATTAGCTTATTGTCTTGTGATGATTAAACACTCAAACTCTTTATCTGTGGGGATTAGGTTAAGTTTGGTTAAATTAGGTTAGAGTAGAGTTAGAGTAGGTTAGGTTAAATTAGGCTAGTCCAATTACATTAGGTTAAATTAGGTTAGGTTAGGTTAAAATTAGGTTTGACTTAGAGTTAGGTTAAATTAGACTAGAGTTAGGTTTAGTAAGCACCATAATACACAAAAAACATAATAAAGATATTTATAACTAACGTGCGACTCCTTGAGGACAACTGAGGATTATGTCACACTCGCCATCTCTGATCAGCTTGGCAGCCTTGGCGAAACACACTCTCATCCACCATGATCTTTCTAAACACGCACTTCCAACCAAACACACTTGTTTTTCTTGGATGAACTCAATACAGGCTCTTGGCTCATACAAGATCATTTTACACACACACACACACACGACCAATGTACTGTACGTAAAACAAACTTCTCCGCACACCACCACTTCGCGTTGCATATGTAACCAGTCAATAACTTAAGTACATAATACACATGAATAACTTCCCACACCACCAAAACAGAACTCTCAGATTGATAAGAGAGACAGGTGGGCATTTTCGCCTCTATTACCAACAGCGACGGAGCAGAAACAATATGCCACATTCACCTATAAACCTAGCTACTTTAATCTGTAAACCTAGCCACATTCACCTGTAAACCTGGCCTTATTCACCTGTAAACCTGGCCATATTCACCTGTAAACCTAGCCACATTCACCTGTAAACATAACCACATTCACCTGTAAACCTGGCCATAATCACCTGTAAACCTGGCCACATTCACCTGTAAACCTGGCCATAATCACCTGTAAACCTGGCCATATTCACCTGTAAACCTGGCCACATTCACCTGTAAACCTAGCCACATTCACCTGTAAACATAACCACATTCACCTGTAAACCTGGCCATAATCACCTGTAAACCTGGCCACATTCACCTGTAAACCTAGCCACATTCACCTGTAAACATAACCACATTCACCTGTAAACCTGGCCATATTCACCTGTAAACCTGGCCACATTCACCTGTAAACCTAGCCACATTCACCTGTAAACCTGGCCACATTCACCTGTAAACCTAGCCACATTCACCTGTAAACATAACCACATTCACCTGTAAACCTGGCCATATTCACCTGTAAACCTGGCCACATTCACCTGTAAACCCTACCACACTCAGCTATGATAAAGCTATAAGACACTCTCTCTCATCACTCCACTAACCTAAGAATTCTTCGCCAGACGGTGCTGATCCAAAGGCGGCGGCGACGCAGTCAGCGACGCAGGCAATGCCTCTGTCGAAGAGCTTATTGACCGGGTCTTTTTTCCTCAATCAGTACTGGTTCTTCATGTGCCTCTTCGCCGTTAACACGTACCAGCAGTCCTACAACGTCTGGATCACAAGTGAGTGTATACAGTAGACACAGCTTTATGTAGATGATGGTAGATGATTTTGCCATTTCAATAAGTCGATTTTCATTTGTTTTGTTGTCACTGTAGTATTTAATAGATGATTTTGTCAAATTTCTTGTTCAATTTTCATTTGTTTTGCTGTTACTCTAGTATTAATAGACGATTTTGTCAATTCTTTTAGTCGATTTTCATTTGTTTTGTTGTCACTCTAAGTACTCACATCTATAAATCAATCTTTCGAAATATTCACAGCCAATCGAGTTATTTCACAATATAAGGGTAAGTTTCTCTTCATATTTCACCAGAGGTTCTTTTAAAATCGTGTTGCTGATATATTTTACTCAGTACGTAATGTGGCATTTAATTCTTTCTCCCGGCAGTACCTGACAATTTTCTGGTTTCATTTTCATTCGACAGGGAAATTATTATTTTTTAAGCTGCCTCATTTCTTTTTTTCAATTTTCTCTACTTTTTCTTTCTTTCTTTCTCTCATTCTTTAATAATTCATTTTTTATCTTCTGTCCGTCTTTTTATCATTCTCTTTTCCTTCATTCCTTCCATCTTTCATTCCATCCATACATTCATCCTTCCTTCCTTCCTTCCTTCCTTCTATCCATCTTTCCTTCCTTCATTCCGTCCATCCACCCATCCATTCATCCTCCCGTCTTTCTTCCCTGCTACCTTCCATTCATCCATCTATCTATCCAACTTCCCTCCCTCCCCCCCATCCATCCATATATCCATCCATACTTTCTTCCTTCCTTACCTTTTTCTTTCCATCCATCCCCCCTTCCTTTCTCTCTCTAACAACAACAAACTCACCCATCTCTCCCCCCAACAGAGTCATCGTGTAGTGTGGAAGAGGTCGGTGTGTACTCCATGATGTACAGCTACAGCAACCTTCTTACCGTGTTCATCAGCCCTTTAGGAGGAGCCTTTACCGACTGCATGATTAAGAGAGCCAGCAAAAGTAAGTGGTTAGGGGTCCTCTTATTCTTCCTTACACACACACACACACACACACACACACACACACACACACATATATATATATACTAGAGACAGAGACAGACTCTCTATACAACAACACAACTCTTAACATTTTCCACCTCATATTTATATACAATACAAAACAATCCTTTCATGGTATCCTCAGCGACCAACGAGGTGGCCCGACGGGTGAAGGAGGTACAGGCGTACTTCTGGCCCCTGCTGGTGACGACCGTAGCCGCCATGGTGAACTATGGGTGTACCCTCTTCTTCCAACCTGCTGCCATCTACGTGTCGCTGATCAGTATGGTGATAGCTAGACCTTGCACCGTGGCGATCAGTACTGCCTACATCCGAGCCAGGTACTGTATTATAAAGGGTGCCTCTGTCTGTTGGTTTGTCTGTCTTTCTGGCCCGATTTGGACTAATGTGTGTGTGTGTGTGTGAATCTGTATGTCTGTCCACATCTCTGTCTGTGATTTCAAAACAGGAAATAGTGGACAGGATTTAAGACTCATGATGAGAACAATGACCTTAGACTATAATACAAACCCGTTAGCTAAGGTAATGGAGAAATCAGATGGTGCTGCAAAACTTGCTACGTACATATCCCATCTGAACCCCTTTATAGCAGTAAGAAGTTTATTCCGGATTTTCAACACGAGTCGTTCACTAGGCTGAGACTCCTGCCACAACCTCAGAGTCTCACACCGGCCCAGCTAGATGATGTCACTGAATGTGAGGACAGTCACGTTCACACTCAACGATGCATATTGTTTGGCTTGGCTTGAATGTCAGCTCTCCGCACATTGCCGTCATTGGGTATCACATGCGGACTTTTTCCAGCGTCCGTGAGCTCTTAATGAAAATATACCGTATGTGTGTCTGAATTATGTAATTATGTACATGACGTACTAGGCATTTACAGTTAAATTTGGAAATTGCCCCTTACACGTTATGTGTGGCTTAAAATAATTTGTTAGACAAATGTATTTTGAACTACTGTACATTGTATATATTTACCTTGTATTTGTATTTATGTCAATAAGTAAACTAACACACTATGTCTGTCTCTCTATCTGTCCGTCTTTGGTGATATGAAATGATATGTCTGTCTGTCTGTTTCTCATTTCTTCCCTCTCTACTTTGAGAGCAAATTCTTCTTCTTTATCTTATTATTCTTCCCTTCAATCATAGTTGTCCTTACTCTCTCTCTTTGTGTGAGGGTAAGTTTTCTTTATCATTTCCCTTACATTTATTTCCTTCTTTATTTCATCAAACGATATTGTCATGTTGCTATCGATTTTATCAACACTTTGTTCTCTCTTCTCCATCACAGGTTCCCAGCTGATCACTTCAATCGCCTCCTGGGTATTATTGGAACTGTCACTTCTGTCATTATGTTCTTGCAGTACCCTCTCTTCATATGGTCACAGCACATGTATTACCCCGTGAGTACCACATATACCTCGAGAGTGCCACATATACCCCGTGAGTGCCACATATACCCCGTGAGTGTGGTGCCACATATACCCCGTGAGTACATACTATACCGCGTGAGTGCCACATATACCCGTGAGTGCCACTTTTACCCCGTGAGTGCCACATATATCCCGTGAGTGCCACATATACCCGTGAGTGCCACATACCCCGTGAGTGCCCCCCGTTGGTGTCACATAAACCTCGTGAGTGCCACCCCTGAGTTCACATATGTGCCACATGTAGTGAGTGCCACATATACCCTGTGAGTGCCACATATACCCCGTGAGTGCCTCTTATACCCCGAGAGATGCCACATACCACATGTGCCCCGAGGTGCCACCAGGTGCCTCATATAGATGCCACATATGCCCCGAGAGATGCCACATATACCCCGAGAGTGCCACATGCCCCAGTGCCACATATACCCCTGTGCATATACCCGTGAGTGCCACATATACCCTGTGAATGCCACATATACCCTGTGAGTGCCACATATACCCTGTGAGTGCCACATATACCTTATGAGTGCCACATCTACCCCCTGAGTTCCACATATACCCCGAGAGTGCCACATATACCTCGTGAGTGCCACATATACCCTGTGAGTGCCACATATACCCCGTGAGTGCCTCATATACCCTGTGAGTGCCACATATACCTCGTGAGTGCCACATATACCCCCTGAGTTCCACATATACCCGAGAGTGCCACATGTACCTCGTGAGTGCCACATATTAAAAGAAAAAACTCGTTGCCAGTGTTCGAGGGGTGAAGCCTCCGGTAACGTCACGGAGCACTAGCAAGGTTAAAGTTATCATACTGCAGATGTGTATTTCTCAGTTTGTGTTATCTTTAAACTGATGCTGATTAGCTGAAGGTTCGTTACGACCCCCCCAGCTTATTTTATGTAGTGATTAAACATTCCAACGCTACCTGGGGGTAATAAGTTAGGTTAGGTTTGGTTAGAGTGAAATAAGCTTGGATGCCTAATCTAGTTTTTAAAGTGTTAAATCATCGTAAATTTTTCTAGTTCTAGGGTTTATGAGTCTCAATAGCCTCGTAAACTTAATTTGTCGCCGTCAGTGGTGATGTCAGAACATGTCTCAATGGCTGATATAGGATAATACTCAGAAATTAACGTCCAAGGTGTCATCAGCATTATAGCCGTGACTCTATCTTCACTTACCATATAGGTCAGTGTTTTATTTATGAAGGACTGAATTATGTAACTATCTCATGCTGTAAGTGTTATATGTACAGTATATACGTTTGTTAAAAAGTTAGTCTCTGTGTATATTGAAAGATTTCTTCCTTGATGTGAATCTTAATTCCTTTCTTGATACATATCTTTTCAGCCTCACTAAAGTATGTCACCTCTGCCCTCCTCCCGTAGGCCCACGCGCTGGTGCTGTCGTTGTTGGCACTGTCTTACCTGAACCCCATCCACCTGCTGTTCACCCCCCTCATGCGTCACGCTGTTATAGTGAGGGACCAGCTGGACCAAAGCGAGATCGGGTGCGCCAGGATCACCAGAGGACCTCCTGGGGGGAAGGCACCAAACATTCTGTAGAAAAGTATAAGGCTATGTTTTTCTCCTCTCCTCTGTAAGACTTCTTGTGAAGGATTCTCGCTTAGAAACTGACTACAGAGGAAGTGCAGGATACCTTGGATGAACAAGTCCTGGGACAGGCTCCTTTCGGGGACTCTTGGGAGGAGAAAGAGTTCCTAAACATCCTGCAGGAAAATGAATGTCCCTTCTGTAGGACCCTTTTCTGCTCCACTCACAGACTAGAGCGATGACTCCTGTGTATCATTATTTATAGGAGGTCCTGGACAGGACGCTCCCTGTACTGGACCCTTGTTAGACAACACAGGAAACCCAAGACGATTATCGTATTACCAGTCAAGATAAATAAGATCTTTCATAGAACACCAGACGTCTTCAGGAGAAACCTTAACAAAGTTCCTCAGATAACTTGATCAACCGAGATATAAGAGCGAGTGTTGTGACAGCCTGACAAACTGAGCTTTTGGAATTACAGGAGACCCTCCAGGAGGAGGAGATATCTAAACCAGCATATAAAGACGCCTCCTGTGAATGACTCCCACAAGATGATGGTACAGGCCTCAGACGGCAGAAAATGATGTTCTGTCTTTATATTCCAATTACTAACAAACAGAATGTTACTGGCGTTGTGAATTTTGTATGAAGTTGAGAAGAAATTATGTGACCGAGTTACACTGTTACGTGAATGTTACTCACGAAAAGTTGTTTTTGGGGTGTGTATATTTTAGGTAGATCATAGTATTGTGTTTATAAATCGGTTGTGTATTGTACAACACTGTGCCATAATAATGTATAAGATCAATACTATAAGCTTACATACAAGTCAAGCGTACAAAATCAAGGTTGCTACTACATGTACAAAAAATAACTATCAAACGTATTATACCCTCAGGGGAAGAAGGTTCTTACATCTGTGGTGTAGGTCATATACAGGGTGTCTCAGAAACAAATATATACACGCTACCTTACAGATTTTCATGAATACCGCCACAAATAAATACACTGTTGCTGTTGTAATAGAAACATTCACACGAACCACTACGAAAATCTGTAAGGTAACCCAGATTCTTGAACATACATACTGTACAGTACAATACTTTCCACTCCATAAGGAAATGTATTAAAATGCATCAAACTGACTCACTTCACCGACGATAAAAATAGGAGTCAAAATAGTATTGGAATCACACTGAGAATCTACCGTAATTTGAAGCATCTTATTATTCCCACAAGAGAAAAAATCTAACACAAGAACCTTTGAGAATCTTGGTTTAGAGAGCCAATATTTATGATGTAGTTTATAAGACCAATACTTCCTTCTCTGACCTGAGTGATTGACGGATATATATTATTTTTCTAGTGTAAATGAGTGAACAATTCTTAAGCATCATCTATCTATTTATCCATCTATCAATTTATTTATTTATCTCTCCTATTCTCTCGAGTATATAAGATCAACAACAGATGCCTTTAACTTCACATCAGAGGCCTTAACTATAGACTCATTATTTATCTCCATTAGTTGGTTGAGTGGGCCCCAGTTCTAATAGGCCCTATAGTCCCCATTAGCATCAAGGCCCCCTGGTAATTAAATATACCCTAACTCACCTGTTGGCGTTGGTTACCTGTGTATGTACCGTCTTAAGAGAAAGGTAAACAAACTATAAGTCTTTCACGGTGTTGGTAGGATGTTGAACCATAACACGAAGCCTTACGTTAATTTGAGACGAGGGAACACATCTAGTCAAGGTTGTCCCAAATTCGTCACCATTTCACCTGTCATCAGTTAATCGTATCTCAATATCAGGTCTTTAGATGTGTTCATTATTTAGTCTTCGGTTATGGGGGCAAAATTTAGCGTTTAATATGATGAATCTTTGTTGTTTCATGAAAATTAATGAGTCTTTTGTTACTTAAGAAGGTTGTGTTGGATTATTTTTGGTTAATAAAATTATGAATAAATATATTAATTTTCTCTTATTTAAACTATTTTTATAATGAACGATAAGTATAAGAAATGTTCAATGCGTTTGGTTAATATATATCGGTGCTGCTCTTGTTGATCATAGCAGGGTATGTTTTGTATACACTAAATATTGTTTCATTATACCTCAAGGTCTAATTCAATAAGAAATTAGTAAATTGTATTGATGGTAACTCACTGTTGCTCCAACTGTTTGCATCACGGAGGAAGGACGCCTGGCAGCACTGAAAAACACTGAGCGGATATCCCAACAGATAAGCTGTTTCAGGAATTCTAAACTAATTAATAAACAGACTACGTTGAATATCTATCTTTGTCATGCCACCGCCCTCTGTATAGGCTTGTGAGGAACCGAGTGGCGGTGTAGCAGTGTTGCAGCAAGTACCATCAGTCGAGAGGGCGTGAACATACTGTAACATCGGGGGGTTCTTTCACCCACTACACGAGTCCCCCCGCAACACTACCATGGCCGACACCGCCCCCCTCACACTCTGGGTTCTCGTCAACAAACACGAAGCAACAAGTGATATTAAATGTACGTGTAGTCTTGAGGAAGACAGATAAGTGACTTATTTACATTTTAGACGTGCCTTAACAACACCCACAGTGTTACAAGGGTTGTATCAGTGATATGAAGTAACAGGTGATATTGATCGATTTTTGTTTACATCTATTGTGGTCTCAACCGTTTTCTATGATAGTATTTCCTCGGTAACTCGCCTGAAACGACAATAGTTTAGTACAGTACGTCCTGAATGATTTAAAATTCTTTATATTTTAAATAGTAAATAGTTTTTTCTTATTCATACTGATGTTCCAGACAAGAGAGAGACTGAGGAGCATAATAAGAGCAACACGCAGCTGGTATCAGTGCCTATGTGGCCCCAGTGGACGGCCAGGGAGGTTCAAGTGGCTCTCCTCAAGACCCTTGGTCTGGGCCACACTATACCCTCTTCCACCAGCAGCATTGGGGTGCGGAACGCCCACGGTGCCCTCCTGCCCCTCACTCCCACCACCCTCAAGTCCACGCCCGTCCGGCCTCTCCTGGTAGAGATACACACCGCCCACCACAAAGGTAAGATCACATTATTTACCTAATGGCCATCACTAGAGGTGGTAAGGTTGTCATCCAGTGTTTCCCTTTTCCTGTGTGGTTTTATCGAGATAGATATATATATATATATATATATATATATATATATATATATATATATATATATATATATATATATATATATATATATATATATATATATATATATATATATATATATATGCGAATTAATAAGTTTTGATGTAAATTCACTGTTCACTAGAGTACCTGTGAAAGACCTACTTTCATTTCTTAAAGATAAATTACAACTGTTAGATTTAACTATTGAACATGATACTTTCCTCAAATTGATAGTTATGCGTAACTGACAATGTGTTTAGAGCAAATGGGAAGTTCTACAAGCAAATATTTGGCATGAGCATGGGTAATTGTCTTTCTGCTCCTCTAGCCTGTATTTATATGGAGTTTTTTTAGTCTAGATTACTACCCAATATAGTGGACTTTATTCCTCCATGGTATAGATATGTAGATGATGTTCTTTGTCTTTGGCCTAGAAACAGTGACCCTTTGGAATTTTTAGACAAGCTTAATGATATTGTCCCAAGTATCACATTCAAAATTGAAAGAGAAATAAATGGATCCCTTCCATTCCTTGACGTGCTTATCATGAGAAATGGCCAAAACTACAAATTTAAGGTATACAGAAAGCCCACACAGGTAGACAGTTTCATACACTTTTATCGAATCACCTGGAGTCTACCAAAATGTCAGTTTTTTCTGCTATGTTCTTAAGATGTCTGCGTATTTGTGACTCTGAATTTATTGACGATGAATTGAAACACATTCGTTCCATTGCACAAAAACTCGGGTACCCTTCCGTGTGTTGATCGTTGTTTTAAAAGGGCTAAAAAATCCTTTCATTCCTCTCAAACCAGGCAAATTCCTACACTTAAGAATATTTTGACTGCCCTATCGTAATGAATTTGTCCCGTTAGTTCGGTCCCTCAAGCTACTAAATATTAATGTTGTTTTCAAGTATGACTCAACCATTACCAATATGCTAATAAGAAATAGCCCAAGTTTGAATGTAAATGGAAGTGTTCATTGTATTCCATGTAGCAAATGTAATTGTAATTATGTAGTACAGACAGGAAAAACACTGCAGCTCAGAATCAAACAACATAAGTACAATATCAGAACAGCATCTGAAAGCAGGGCCTTGTTCGTTCATGTTAGGAATAATAATCATCCCATTGCTTGGGAAAAAAGCTTAGAAGTATTTAAATCATCTTGTGTCACAGAAAGACTTCTGGTTGAAGCTAGTTTGATTAAGGAATTAAAATCAATAAACCTTAGTGATGGTCAGTTCAAAACTGATAATATGTTACATAAATTTATTTGTCAGTGGCCCAAGGTTAAAAATGCTTTGAAAACCTTTGATCAAGATGTATGGTAGTTATTTAGTGGGTCCCTTATTTTTGACGTGACCTGACTAGTCACGTCACCCCCCTTCTCTTTAGCTCCTCTACGTGTGTGTTGGTATGGGGATTAGTGGATGACATCCTTATGACATGACCTGACCTCATGTTTTTAAGGTCACCCTGTATATTTAAGCCTCTCTCTGTCCATGTAATCCAGTTGCCTCTGAAGATGTCTTGAATAAAGACGAAAGCTACGGTGCTCCGTTGTTTCCCTTTTCCCGTGTGATTTTATCAAGATATATCTTATCCACGTTTTCATTGTGGATTTACATGATATATATATATATATATATATATATATATATATATATATATATATATATATATATATATATATATATATATATATATATATATATATATTCCACTTACATTAAGTACCCCTACAGGGACTGAAAAAGAGGAACGAGAGACGACGCCACTGTTGCCTCCCTCCTTCAGGAAAACTGTGCAGGACATCATAGCCAGTCTTGAGACCCGAGTGAGTCCCTCCCTCTCTTGTTGTAGATCAAGTGTGAGACCCCTAACTACAGAACCCTGAACCACATTTCGAAATAACAATCAAGTTCCTCAGAAATAAACCTAATTTTATCAAGCTTTCTTTTTCTTTAATGATAACTATTCGTATTATTATTATTATTATTATTTGCAGTAGTAGTAGTTTTAGACCTAACATCTCCTGACTCCAGATTCTCAACATTTTGTACTAAAAAAAAAATCTCTTAACTAATGATATGAAATTGCATTAACTCATTGTCATAAAACTATGACACAAATGCGATATTTCGGTCTTAATGTTAAATTCTCCTCTTGATTCGAATTAATGTTCAATAATACCACGTTGGTTAGCACTTGATGGGTGCCCACCTGGCCCTAACAACACCAGATGCTGTTGGTATAAGGACTCTACTGGAAATAAGCCTCTCGTGGCTCGGTCAGCTGTCCTTGTTAAATTGAGTGAATATCAATTATTACAATGTAACATCGTATCAAACTGCCTCACTTAATCTACGGCACAAAAATGAACTCTCAATGAACTGAACCTTAAATTCTCGTCTGAATGGTGACGCGAGGACTCATCGACTTAGCTATATTAAGCTACGTCACTCAGAATGATTCTCAAATATTTTTACGTTCATTTAATTCAAACTGGTTATCAAAAGGCTGCACTGACCACACACATCACTTATGCCACATACACTGTAGATGCCAGAAATGTCTTTTTAAGTACACTAGGCCTTTACCATATATTTATACGTATTCTTAACTCCAATTCACGAGAAAATATAAACGTAGGAATCTTTGAGGAGCTGGGCTGAGGGCTCGACAGGTCTCAAGGAGCTGAGGAAACATGATAACAATAAACACATCCTGAGGTTCTGCCACAGCCTTCTCCTGTATCTATCATTATATATTTCTTATTAGTTAATCCTTTATATTTACTTACACTACTGAAATAAAATTAATACTTGTGTTGTCTTGATTTCCATATTCTATTGATTTTTACAATATCTCATTTTCTAGCTTTTCGTTTTCTCTTTTCTTTTGTTGTTTTATATTCGTTTACCATAATCTGTTGTTGTAAAGTGGTACATGAATTTGTTAGCTGTGAGAGATAGGATTAAGATACGATAAATGTTGCATCTCTCTCTCTCTCTCTCTCTCTCTCTCTGCACTTAACAGGTGATTGATTTTGTTGTTGTTGTTGACGTCACAGCTGTCTAGGGTGGAGGAGGGCTTGGGGAGCCTTAAGGGTCGACGAGCTGCCCTGGTCGAGTCTGAACTTCGACAGATCCAAGACACACTCAACTTCATGTCTCGAAGACTTGACCTGACCCGTACCCCCGCCTGGGTCACCGGAGGTCAAACTTGAAGCCTCCATGTTAGCTGTAACCCTACCTGTGTCATGAGAGGTCACACTTGAAGCTTCCATGTTACCTGTAACTCTACCTGTATCATGAGAGGTCACACATGAAGCCTCCTAGGTCATCCTCTTCCATGTTTAGTTCACGGGAGGTCAAACTCGAAACTTTCAGTTCAGGTTCCGTTTCAAGTACATTAAGCTTACAACACAACAAACTTCCAGTGTTTTCAGCTTAAAACACAACAATCTTCCAGTGTTTTCAGCTTACAACACAACAATCTTCCAGTGTTTTAAGCTTATAACACAACAAACTTCCAGTGTTTTAAGCTTACAACACAGCAAACTTCCAGTGTTTTAAGCTTACAACACAACAAACTTCCAGTGTTTTAAGCTTACAACACAACAAACTTCCAGTGTTTTAAGCTTACAGCACAATCTTCCAGTGCTTTAAGCTTACAGTACAACAATCTTCCAGTGCTTTAAGCTTGCAGTACAACTATCTTCCAGTGCTTTAAGCTTACAGCACAACACGCTTCCAGTGCTTTAAGCTTACAGCACAACAATCTTCCAGTGCTTTAAGCTTACAGCACAACAATCTTCCAGTGCTTTAAGCTTACAGCACAACAATCTTCCAGTGCATTAAGCTTACAACACAACAATCTTCCAATGGTGCCAAATTAAAAAAAATCATAAAATAAAAGTAAAAAATAATAAATATTTAAAAATATTACATAATTTATATAATTATTATACTTGTTACGTCAAGTATCAAAATATCGTTTTAAATTATTACATTATGAATCTCGTTACAATAAGTTGCCGAGTTATAGAACACAAGTTGCACATTGTTTTGTGGTATTATGAAGTCATGTTGTATAATAAAGAAAGACCTATTGATTATACAGCTTAAATTATACAACTTCCATTATACATTATGTCCTCATATTTTCATTTTGTATTAATATAATCATCTGCTATAATTGTTACTTGTATACATCTGCTATAAATGTTACTTGAGTGTATACATCTGCTATAACTGTGCTACTTGAGTGTATACATCTGCTATAACCGTTACTTGAGTGTATACATCTGCTATAACTGTTACTTGAGTGTATACGTCTGCTATAACTGTGCTACTTGAGTGTATTCATCTTCTATAACTGTTACTTGAGTGTATATATCTGCTATAACTGTGCTACTGGAGTGTATACATCTGCTATAACTTACTTGAGTGTATACATCTGTTAGAAATGTTACTTGAGTGTATACATCTGCTGTAACTGTTACTTGAGTGTATACATCTGTTATAAATGTTACTTGAGTGTATACATCCGCTATAGCTGTTACTTGAGTGTATACATCTGTTATAAATGTTACTTGAGTGTATACATCTGTTATAAATGTTACTTGAGTGTATACATCTGTTATAAATGTTACTTGAGTGTATACATCTGCTGTAGCTGTCACTTGAGTGTATACATCTGTTATAAATGTGTAGCTGTCACTTGACATCTGTTCATGTTATAAATGTTACTTGAGTGTATACATCTGATGTATACATCTGTTAGTTACTTGAGTGTATACATCTTGTAGCTGTCACTTGACATCTGTTGTAGCTGTCACTTGAGTGTATACATCTGTTATAAATGTTACTTGAGTGTATACATATGTTGTAGCTGTCACTTGATTGTATACATCTGTTATAAATGTTACTTGAGTGTATACATCTGCTGTAGCTGTCACTTGAGTGTATACATCTGTTGTAGCTGTCACTTGAGTGTATACATCTGTTGTAGCTGTCACTTGAGTGTATACATCTGTTATAAATGTTACTTGAGTGTATACATCTGCTGTAGCTGTCACTTGTTAGTGTATTGCATCTGTTGTAGCTGTCACTTGAGTGTATACATCTGTTATAAATGTTACTTGAGTGTATACATCTGTTGTAGCTGTCACTTGAGTGTATACATCTGTTATAAATGTTACTTGAGTGTATACATCTGTTATAAATGTTACTTGAGTGTATACATCTGTTATAAATGTTACTTGAGTGTATACATCTGCTGTAGCTGTCACTTGAGTGTATACATCTGTTATAAATGTTACTTGAGTGTATACATCTGTTATAAATGTTACTTGAGTGTATACATCTGCTGTAGCTGTCACTTGAGTGTATACATCTGTTGTAGCTGTCACTTGAGTGTATACATCTGTTGTAGCTGTTACTTGAGTGTATACATCTGCTGTAGCTGTCACTTGATTGTATACATCTGTTATAAATGTTACTTGAGTGTATACATCTGCTGTAGCTGTCACTTGAGTGTATACATCTGTTGTAGCTGTCACTTGAGTGTATACATCTGTTATAAATGTTACTTGAGTGTATACATCTGTTGTAGCTGTCACTTGAGTGTATACATCTGTTGTAGCTGTTACTTGAGTGTATACATCTGCTGTAGCTGTCACTTGATTGTATACATCTGTTATAAATGTTACTTGAGTGTATACATCTGCTGTAGCTGTCACTTGAGTGTATACATCTGTTGTAGCTGTCACTTGAGTGTATACATCTGTTATAAATGTTACTTGAGTGTATACATCTGTTGTAGCTGTCACTTGAGTGTATACATCTGTTATAAATGTTACTTGAGTGTATACATCTGTTATAAATGTTACTTGAGTGTATACATCTGTTATAAATGTTACTTGAGTGTATACATCTGCTGTAGCTGTCACTTGAGTGTATACATCTGTTATAAATGTTACTTGAGTGTATACATCTGTTATAAATGTTACTTGAGTGTATACATCTGCTGTAGCTGTCACTTGAGTGTATACATCTGTTATAAATGTTACTTGAGTGTATACATCTGTTATAAATGTTACTTGAGTGTATACATCTGTTATAAATGTTACTTGAGTGTATACATCTGCTGTAGCTGTCACTTGAGTGTATACATCTGTTATAAATGTTACTTGAGTGTATACATCTGCTGTAGCTGTCACTTGAGTGTATACATCTGTTATAAATGTTACTTGAGTGTATACATCTGTTATAAATGTTACTTGAGTGTATACATCTGCTGTAGCTGTCACTTGAGTGTATACATCTGTTGTAGCTGTCACTTGAGTGTATACATCTGTTATAAATGTTACTTGAGTGTATACATATGTTGTAGCTGTCACTTGATTGTATACATCTGTTATAAATGTTACTTGAGTGTATACATCTGCTGTAGCTGTCACTTGAGTGTATACATCTGTTGTAGCTGTCACTTGAGTGTATACATCTGTTATAAATGTTACTTGAGTGTATACATCTGTTGTAGCTGTCACTTGAGTGTATACATCTGTTATAAATGTTACTTGAGTGTATACATCTGTTATAAATGTTACTTGAGTGTATACATCTGTTATAAATGTTACTTGAGTGTATACATCTGCTGTAGCTGTCACTTGAGTGTATACATCTGTTATAAATGTTACTTGAGTGTATACATCTGTTATAAATGTTACTTGAGTGTATACATCTGCTGTAGCTGTTACTTGAGTGTATACATCTGCTGTAGCTGTCACTTGAGTGTATACATCTGTTACTTGAGTGTATACTGTACATTCCCTATAATTGTGTCATAAGTGAAATTATAATTTTTTACACAAATCAGTTTTAATAATTATACACGATTTAGCTTCAATAATTTATCTCATCAATACAACATCATACCCACATACAAAATTTATCTTAAGCATACAACATACAAATTAACGGGCACGATTAGGTACATGCTAGGTGAAATAGGCGAAAAATATACCTATTTTTCCTGATTACCATGAAAATAGGTCTGTGCATTCATGTGTATATTAAATTAATGGAGTTATGTATGATACTGAGTCTTTTGTATAATTATGTGTATGTATTATTACGTTTAAATGATAATGTTATATTTTGTATAATCATCGGATGCAGTGTTAATGATATACTGTACATGTTCTCAGAATGTTATTGTAGTGAACTTATTATTGTTGTTATTATTATTATCATCATTATCATCATTATTATTATTATTATGAATTATGTTATTATTTAAGATAATTAAGGAGAAATATGTAATATATGTCTTTTAACAAACCTTATAATTAGTTTTACAAATAAAAAGACAGACAACAGACACAGATAGATAGATAGATAGATAGATTCTCAGGTAAGATAATTAGTGAATAAGTTTGAAACAAATCAGCTGTGTATAAAGTAATATTCAGAGACTAATGTGTGCGTGTGTCTGTGTAGTAATTATCAATATTATGATTACTATTACTTATACTACTACTACTACTATTACTGCTACTACTATCAATATAATCATAATAATAATTGATAATTATTTACTTTTTTTCTAAGGATTTGCTCCAGGACCTCAAAGTACAATAAGTTGTTTGTGATTGGTGGATTAGTGACAGAATATCCAGCCGTCTGTGATTGGTGGATTAGTGACCCAATAGTCTGAGATTTAAAGGTAGGTGAATCACTGTATAGTCAGCATTGTAAATACATAATTGTTTAATTTGTATTATGGTTTGTAAAATGACCGGTAGACAGACAGACAGGTAGACAAGTAGAAAACTAGACAAGTAGACAAATAAACAATTAGACAGGTAACTCGTGTCTCCAAACGGCCAACCTATGTGACCTATAGCAAACCTATCCACCAATCACGACCATCGTTATACGACCAATACCCATTCATTCATAAACTGTGATACTACTACTGCAACGTTGCCGTTTGGAGACACTGGTTACCACTGGGCGTAGAAACACATTTCCGGACAGGTAAACAAACAGTAATAGTGTGTTGTTACTTGGCCGCCTTCACCTTATCTGGCTTGGGTGGGTACGGGAGGGAGGAAGGCGTGGCCACATCTTCCTCAGGTGGCGACCACGACCAGCGTTCTGCTGCCGGGGTGGACACTGTCGGGTGCCACTCCTCCGACACCTGCGGGAACACGATGGTCTCATGTGAGTGACTCTTTGGTGTTGTGGTGGTTGTTGTTGTTGTGGTCTGGAAGAATTCCTTGGGTAGCAGGACGAGGTCTAGGCCGTGCTGCAGGCTGAAGACCACCACCACCACGTCGCCAGTAGAGAGCAGCTCCGCGTGAACCACTCGGGAATCTTTCTTGCCCGGAAGGTGCCATCCTGGAGGGAGTGTCCACACTTGTGTCGGGAGGTGGGTTGTGGCCTCCTCTACCTGCTGGTACACCTGCACGCCGTACTCACCTGTCGCAAACACGTGAGGGAGTAGTCTTTATTATTTTTTATTTTTAAAAATGAGGAATTGAAGTGAATATCGGTCCCATAGCTTGACACAGTGTACAAAAGGAGACAACGTCACCAACGCTGCATTCAATCACTTCACTTCCCCAACTTATAAAATCAGATTCCCATTTATAGCTGTGTGAACTGAGTGCCCCGGGATCGAACCAACGACGCCCCCCCCCCCCACCTAAAATAACAGACCAGTCACTCACCTTTACGAGGCTCCGTCACCTGGATGCGTATATCGTCCACGTCCTTCACCAAGACTGGGGAAGCTGGTGCCGTGTGGTCACTCAGCTTGGCGGGGAGAGCACACACCCCTGCCACCACAACCACTAGTACGGCTACACTCCTCTGCAATACGTGATCGTCGACTTTGAATTCAATATATCAATGTTTTGTCTTAAACTCTTAGAAAAATACCTGTAGATTTACAGTATATACATAAGAAAATTAATTAGCTCACATAGGAAAACTTTCGGTCATGAAATTCAAGACTTTCCATCACAAAAAATATCGAAATTTCCGTCATTAAAAAATAAAGTTTGGTTCATAAACAAGAAGTGTGTTGACAATGACGTCACGTTTAGCTGACTGACACACACACACACACACACACACACACTCGCAGGGGAGAGCAAAATATTTTCAGGGATTTCCATGTGAAAGTCTGGGGCTGTCGACCATTGCCCTGGGGTACATAGCGTTGAGTGGCTGGGTAGGGTAGTACGTTGTGGGTGTCTGACTGTCACCATCTCATATCACCCAACTCACCCTCCACCCATCACCACCATCTCACCCCTCCACCCATTACTACCGCCTCATCACCTCCACTCCCCCACCCCACTCCACCCACCGGCACCTCACAATACCTCATCTTTATCGAGAAAAAAAAATTAATACACAATACAAATAATTACCAAACAAAAATCCCCCCAGACATCAAATACCCCAAATTACTGAACACAATAACAGTGAAAATCCTTGCCGATGTTCACGGTCTTGGTACACCATAGATCAGTAACATCCACTTCCGGTATCCGTCAGTCGCCCATATCTTCCTGTCTGGTTCGTGGGTGAAGTGTCTTGTTGGTCTGTGAATCTGAGTCGAGTTTGAGGAGAAAATATAAAGGGTTTGTGTGTAATGAGGGATAAAGGCGAACTGGGGAGAGGTAGAGAGAGACAGAAGAGAGGGGGAGAGGTAAAGAGAAACAAGAGAGGGGGGAGAGAAACAGATAGAGGGAGAAGGGGAGATAACGAGAGAAGGGGAAGGGAAAAGAGAGAGAGACAGAAAGGAAGAGAAGAGAACGAGCGGGAGGAAAAAAGAGACGGAAGATAGGAGAGAGAAAAGGTGAAGAGAGAGACAGAATGGAAGGGAGGGAGAGAGAGGAGGGAAGTCAATAATTTGGTTGCGGGTGGTGGATATGTTTCCGTGAGTCAAGGATTTTTCTGAGGCATAGGAGGAAGGAAGGAAGGGGGGGGGGTAGTGGAGGTTAGGATGATTGGCCAGGCCCTTTTACCAGCCTTCCTCCATCACCATCATTTACAACCTTACACCACCATCATCTACAACCCTACACCATCGTCACCACCATCATCAAAGGACATGTATGGGATAAGCGAGGACACCTTAGACATGGGAGGGAAGTACTTGAGACATGCAAGGGAAAGTATTTGAGACATGCAAAGGGGAAGTACTCAAGTCATGCAAAGGAAAGTATTTGAGACATGCAAAGGGGAAGGACGTCACTCATGCAAAGGGGAAGTACTCAAGTCATGCAAGGGTAAAGGACTTCAGGCATGCGTTAATACACCCAGAAAATATCCCGTCCGTCGGAAGCCTACATCAACCATCCCGGAACTGGACACAGGAAGGGAGCAAGATCCGTCACCGTCACACATAGTAGGATTCCCTGTAACGTAGAGTAAGTGACCGTAACTCCTGATAGCATGTGTGGCCTTTACAGTACAGTGACGGGGAGAGGGGGGGGTGACGGTAGTGGTGACGGAAGAGTCAATAGAGTGGAGTTAAAGAGACCCATTGAAACGGTACCTAACCTTGGCCCATAAGAACTCTCGTATATGTGTAAATTCCGTACATATGTAAATAAATCACAGGTGTACGTGGACCTTATATACATACAGGTAATTAATGTAAGCGTCTTGGAGGTGCTTTCATGTGATCATATCTTCAGGGAAATACAGACGAGAGAGGGACTATATTAATGGTGTAATAGAGCTTGTGTACTGATACTAACACACACACACATACACAAATACATTTTCTGTTATTTTTCCTCCCTGACAAACCTAAAAGGCAAAACACAGCTGTGGTGGCATGCATTTGTGTGTGTTTGTGTTTCCTTCCCCTCTCTACCAACCAATCACAGTCACTCAGTCAGTAAGAGCAACCAACACTGCATGGCATTCTCCATTAAACACGTAATAAGATAATCACACAAACTGAGCCACACACCAGCGTTGTCCCGGGTCATGTCTGTAGCACCTACTGTATAAATCAAGGACAAATAATATCCCTCTACAGTATCTCACGGTCCCGGGTTAATAACAGTACTGTAGTGGGATTAATCAAAGCCCAGGTGGATCATTTAATCAGGCAGGTGTATCCGTCTTATCTCACCTGGTGTGTTGGGTCGCTGGTCATTCATGGTTGACACTGAGAGTCAACATGTAAATATTCTCATGATAGATAGTGAAGCTAAGCTGGCTGGTGGTCACTATCAAAGCATTCCTCTGGCTAATTCATGACTAATCTAACATTCATCCTTCACTACACAACACCGTAATGCATAAACAACACCTGGTCAATAACACCTGCCTCGTCTAAACACATATACACTATTACACGCCACAGATAAGCATATCGCTGTCTAATGTAAGCAATCCTCATATTACAAACCTCAACATTTTACATAGTCAAGACAATGAAGAGTCCAAGTTTATTTTGAATAGTCTATGAACTTGTGTGTTGTTACGTATAGATATAGTATTAACAAGTATCTCTCACATTATCACTATTTATCATCAGTACTCACCATAGTATCAGTGGAGGGGGAGGACTTGTCGGGTGGGTAATGTAGGTCCTCACAGGCAGTTCTCAACAGGTAGTCTGGGTAGTTGATTCACTTCCTCCCCTCTTATATACCTTCCACCCTTGGCTGCTTCCACACACACACAGTCGGACATACGTGCTCACATCTCCCATTATCACCAACAACCTCGGAAAATCAGTCTTATGTAGTACATTTCTTTGCTAAATCTCAATGCGTTTTGTTGTCATTGTCAATACATCTCACTCACGAAGTTTGATTCAATTATATCTTACCGGTATTTCATTTACAAATATAAAACTGAATCATTGTGAAGAGGGAATATTGTTATTTTTCATTAAATATCGTTCACTTCTTAAATTAAAATATAGCAGTTGTGAATTCCCGAGAAAAAAAATACTATTTGCATAGAAATCTAATGACGTCACGAAATAAGTTACCAGACACCAAAAAATATTTATATTTTTCCATTTAACTAATTCTCTAATACATCCTTAAATTCTTCATGTTTATTTTTATTTCATCAAGAATAGCATAGATTGATTTTATATATGTTTAACTATATCAATGAATATAACAAAATATAATGGATATAATGAACAAAAACAATATATGGCAACTATACACGGGATCCCCAGCCACAGGAGGAGAGGAAAACATGGAGGCCGCTGGACACTTTTACTTCTCATTGTGAAGCTTCAAAGTCAAGGGCAAGTTTTGTGGTTCCCTGAATACCTGTACAATATACCTTCAATGTCTCACAATAGGTAAAGGACCCCCCCCAAGAGATGAACGAATGTTTTACGGTAATTTACTTATTATTACGATATTTTGGTTTCTTCCGGATGATAAAAAGAAAAAAGGGAAACTTTACCTAGGCCTATTTTATGTATGCAGGAACTTTACCTGAAGATTAGACACCCCAGTTTATTTCACCTGATGTCTAAACATTCTTACACTAACCTAACCTAAATTAATCCCTCCAGGTATCGTTAGGTTGTTCTAATAACGTGAAATAAACTGGGGTGCCTAATCTTCACGTGACCCTCTATATCACTTTGTATAGCAATATTCAGTACTAAGGCGACCGGACTATAGCCGCCCTTACAACATGTACCCAGAGGTCCACGTTCACTGGAGCATTCGTTGTCTGGTGGGATTTTTGTCCAGTGGAAAATTGTCAGGTGATAAATTTCTGGTGTGGGATTTTGTCTGGGCATTCCGATTACCAAAGATCAACAGAGAGAAAGTAAACAAAGGTGGGCCGGGGAGAGGTCAAGGTCACGTGAGTAACCTCAGAGACTACCAGGTATGATCAGCTGATTCCATGTAAACAGACGGCCCAGGTATGAACAACTGCTCAATGTAAGCGGACGGCCCTGGAGGGATCAGCTGTGAGAGAGAGGGGGGGGGAGAGAAAGAGAGGGAGGAGAGAGAAAGAGAGGGAGGGAGAGAAAGAGAGGGAGGGGAGAGAAAGAGAGGGAGGGGAGAGAAAGAGAGGGAGGGAAGAGAGAGATAGTGTTTAAGGCGTCATGGTCATATATCGTCAACTCTGGGCCAGATATTCCCACATTAAAAAATGAGTCAACTTCCTTCAGCAACATTATTATCACCGTCGATAATTCTGTCGTAAGTTTGGCGAGAAATATTAGTACTGAGAATGAAGGAGTGTCAGCTATCTCCATGACTGCTAAACCTGACTTATTGACTGGGTGACTCTCTCTCACCCTATAAAATGAACAAATCACCAGTCAAAAATGTCAAATAAAACGTTATTTTCAAAGCACTATTATGTCCAAGATCAAAAGGTGCCTGAGAAATCGCCCAGACAAGCAAATAAACAGGTAAACAAACAAACAACCAGAACCAATGAGTACTCCTAACAAGCTTCGCGCGGCACTAAAGGGGGAGAGGGAGAGGTGTATTATAAGGGGGTTTTTCCAGCACAATGTTACAGCTGTGTGTTAACTGTACTTACCTCTTACCTGGTGTATGGTGGTGGAGCCTCTTGGTTAATTAGCAAGGTGGCTCTAAAATAGGTACGCCTTCTCTCACACTCCCTCTACACCTTCCCTCCACTCATCTCACCCTCCCTCCATTCCTCCCTCCACTCATATCATCCCTCCCTCCCTTCCTCCCTCCACTCATCTCACCCTCCCTCCATTCCTCCCTCCTCATCTCCACCCTCCCTCACTTCCTCCCTCCACCTCATCTCACCCTCCCCTCCATCCCTCCCATCCTCCCTCACTCATCTCCCCTGTCTCCATTCCTTCCATCCTCCCTCCCACTCATCTCACCTCCTCCATTCCTCCCATCCTTCCCTCCCTCATCTCATCCTCCCTCATTCCTCTCATCCTCCCTCCCGCCATCTCACCCTCCCTCCATTCCTCCATCCTTCCCTCCCTCCTCTCACCCTCCCTCCATTCCTCCCATCCTTCCCCTCCCTCATCTCCCCTCCCCTCCATTCCTCCCATCCTTCCCTCCCTCATCACCCTCCCTCCATTCCTCCCATCTTCCCTCCCTCATCTCATCCTCCTCCATCCTCCCATCCTCCTCCACTCATCTCACCCCTCCCTCCATTCCTCCATCCTTCCCCTCCTCATCTCACCCTCCCCCCATCCCTCCATCCTCCCTCCCTCATCTCGCCCTCCCTCATTCCTCCCATCCTCCTCCCTCATCCCCACCCCTCCTCCCATCCTCCTCCTCATCTCACCCCTCCTCCATTCCTCCCATCCTTCCCTCCACTCATCTCCACCCTCCCTCCATCCTCCCCTCCACTCATCGCCCTCCCTCCATTCCTCCCATCCTTCCCTCCCTCATCTCACCCTCCTCCTTCTCCTCCCACTCTCACCCTCCCTCCATCTCCATCCTCCCTCCACTCATCTCCACCCTCCCTCATTTCTCCCATCCTTCCCCTCCACTCATCTCACCCCTCCCTCCATTCCTCCCATCCTCCTCCTCATCTCACCCTTCCTCCATCCTCCCTCCTCATCTCTCCATCCCTCCCATCCTCCCTCCACTCATCTCACCCTCCCTCCATTCCTCCCATCCTCCCTCCATTCATCTCACCCTCCCTCCCATCCTCCCTCCACTCATCTCACCCTCCCTCCATTCCTCCCTCCACTCATCTCACCCTCCCTTCCTCATCCTCCCTCCTCATCTCTCCATCCTCCCATCCCCTCCCTCCCTCATCTCCCTCCCCTCCATCCCTCCCATCCTCCCTCCCTCATCTCACCCTCCCTCCACCCTCCTCTCTCCCCTCCCTCCATTCTCCATCCTTCCCTCCTCCTCTCCCTCCCCATCCTCCCTCCCTCATCTCACCCTCCTCCATCCTCCCATCCTCCCTCCACTCATCTCACCCTCCTCATTCCTCCCATCCTTCCCTCCACTCATCTCACCCTCCCTCATTCCTCCTCCTCCCTCCCTCACTCCACCTTCCTCCATCCTCCTCCTCATCTCTCCATCCCTCCCATCCTCCTCCCACTCATCTCACCCCTCCCTCCATTCCTCCCATCCTCCCTCCATTCATCTCACCCTCCTCCCCATCCTCCTCCCTCATCTCACCTCCCTCCATTCCTCCTCCCTCATCACCCTTCCTCATTCCTCCTCCATTCCTCCCTCCTCATCTCTCATCCTCCATCCTCCTCCCTCATCTCACCTCCTCCATCCCTCCCATCCTCCTCCTCATCTCCCCTCCCTCCATCCCTCCCATCCTCCTCCCATCACTGTGATATCTTCTGGAAACAGACGGGCCCGGCTCTGAGGCTTGTAAACCGTCGTGTTGGCTTACTCAAACTGCGCCATGTAGTGATGCAATCCCAGACAAGGTTCTGAACTCCAGGGCACGAGCAGTAGATATATCAACAAGGGTACAAGACTTGGCGTGATAGCCAACTGGCACAGGAACAGAGCCAGCACAGGAACTCCTGGTCGAGGGGCACGGGTGACCTGAGGAAGTAGCTAGCTAGGCAGGGAGCTGACATTACTAGGACAATAAATGAGGTCTTCTAATTACTGACTACGCTGTACAGACATAGTACATCGGACATGTAAATGGACATAGCATTAGACATAAAGACAGACACATGCTATAATAATATGTAGTAATACAGACATGTGAATATGGTACAATGAATGGTAACAGAGTCTTGTATGTTCATATATTCAGTATATATATACACCAAATCCACAATAATAAACCCACCAAGTAAAATATTAATCACCAAAAGGTAAGAAAAAAAATTAACTATTAATCTCATCACCAGCCAAACACATCAGCTTGTTTGTCGTGGCAAACAGAAACACACAACATAATCCAAATAGGCATCACTGCATGGTTTTTATTTTAATGTGTGTGTGTGTGTGTGTGTGTGTGTGTGTGTGTGTGTGTGTGTGTGTCTGTGTGTGTGTGTCTTCCAGCAACTCACCCACCACCACCACCGCCTGGTAGCTACCATCAATTTCACCTTTAGTAATTTAGTTCCCAGGTGAGACCACAGGACATGCCTACACCTGGGACCTGCAGATCTCTAGGAAGTGCCACAATGGTCCCACCTGTTACAGCCCCCATTACAATTCCCATAAAACACATCATTGGTATCCCCTCACCCTCCCCACTCTCCCCACCCTCCCCCACCTCCCCAACCTCCTCACTCCCTCACCCTCCCCACCTCACCCTCCCCACCTCCCCTCACCCCCACTCCTCACACCCTCCCCACCTCCTCCTCACCCTCCCCACCTCCCCACCTCACCTCCCCACACTCCTCACCCTCCTCACCTCCCCCCACCCTCCCTACCTCCTCCACCTCCCCACCTCCCACCTCCCCACCTCCTCACACTCACCTCCTCACCTCCCCACCTCCTCACCCTCCTCCCCCTCACCCTCCCCCACCTCCCCACCTCCCCACCTCCCACCTCCCTCACCTCCCCACCTCCCTCACCTCCCTCACCCTCCCACCTCCCCCCACCCTCCCACCTCCCCACTCCCCCACCTCCCCACTCCCCACCTCCCACCTCCCCACTCTCCCCCACCTCCCACCTCCCCCACCTCCCTCACCTCCCCTCACCCTCCTCACCTCCCACTCTCCTCCACCCTCCCCACTCTCCCCTCCTCCTCACTCCCTCCCTCACCTCCTCACCTCCCTCACCTCCTCACCTCCCTCACCTCCCCCCTCCCACCTCCCTCCTCACCTCCTCACTCCCCACTCCTCACCCTCACTCCTCCCACCTCCCTCACCCCTCACCACACCTCCCACACCTCCCCACCCTCCTCCCCACCCTCCCCACCTCCCCACCTCCCCACTCCCCCACACCCTCCCCTCCACACCTCCCCCTCACCTCCCCACCTCCCCTCACCCTCCCCTCACCCCACCCACTCCCTCCCCCACTCTCCCCCACCTCCTCACCTCACTCCCCCTCACTCCCCACCCTCCACCTCCTCACCTCCTCACCCTCCTCACCTCACTCCACCTCCCTCACCCCTCACTCTCACACCTCCTCACTCTCACCTCTCCCCTCACCTCCCACCAACTCCCTCCCTCCCCACCTTCCCCACCCCCACCCCCACCTCCCACCTCCCCCACCCCCCCACCTCCCCACCTCCCCCACTCCCTCCCCACTCTCCCCACCCTCCCCACCCTCCCCACCTCCCCCACCTCCTCACCCCACCTCCCCACCTCCCTCACCTCCCCACCTCCCCCACTCCCTCCCCCACTCCCCACCTCCCCACTCCTCCCTCACCTCCCTCACCCCTCACACTCTCCCTCACCTCCCCACCCTCCCCACCTCCCCTCACCTCCCCTCACCTCCCTCACCTCCCTCACCTCCCCACCTCCTCACCTCCCTCACCCCCACTCCTCCCTCCCCCCACCTCCTCCCCACCTCCCACTCTCCCCACACCCTCCCCACCTCCCCACCTCCCCCTCACCTCCCCACCTCCCCACCCTCCCCACACCCCACCTCCCCACCTCCCTCACCTCCTCACCTCCCTCACCCCTCCCCTCACCTCCCTCACCTCCCCACTCTCCCCCACTCCTCCTCTCACCTCCTCACCCTCCCCTCACCTCCCCCACCTCCCTCACCCTCCTCACTCCCCACCTCCTCACCTCCCTCCCCACCTCCCTCACCTCACCTCCCTCACCTCCCTCACCTCCTCCCTCCCTCACCTCCCTCCTCCCTCACCTCCCTCAACCTCCCTCACTCCTCCTCACTCTCCCACCCCCACCCTCACCTCCCCCACCCCCTCCCACCTCCCCACCTCCCCACCCTCCCCACCTCCTCACCCCCCCCCCACCTCACCTCCCCACCCTCACCTCACCTCACTCCTCCCTCCCCACCTCCCCACCTCCCCACTCTCCCTCACCCTCCCTCACTCCCCACCTCTCACCTCTCCTCACCTCCTCACCTCCCTTCCCTCCACCTCCCTCACCCTCCTCACTCTCCTCACCTCCTCACCTCCTCACCTCCCTCACTCCTCACCTCCCTCACTCTTCCCACTCTCTGCCGAGTTTGATTCACACATGACACTGAATTAATTTAAGATCACTGAACACCCCTGAGGTGTGTGTGTGTGTGTGTTAATAATAATAATAATAATTGTTTATTGAAGAGCCATGTTTCAGAAGGCTGAAATATACAGTACATATTTGGGGAATGTTGAATTACAAATAATATACAAGTAAATAAGTATACAATAAGACATATAATAAACTTAGATGGGAAAAGCTTCAAACTACAATTCTTCAACATAGTACAGGTATGAGCAGTGCTTATCAGAGGAATTGATTTATCAAGAATAATTTTATAATGTTGAGACCTGTTCTTATAAAGACCAGTTCTGCACATG